TGTGTGTGTGTGTGTGTGTGTGTGTGTGTGTACTGTATAAACTACACTATTTTTAACAATGGTTTTGATTTAACTGGAAAAAATGTCATGTGTAATCATCAAGTAAACAGAAATAACATTTTCCTCACACCTTGAATATATGCGAGTAGGTAAAAAACATATTTTATGAATGTAATGAATTTATAAATATATAAAGTTTGTGATGGGTTTTCAACCGTAATGACATTTACATCCTAAACGTACCTTGTCATGTTATAAGAAGTTCAAAAAGGACTTATTGACACAGTCTTGAGGGTCTCCACAAGGCCCCTCCCTCTATGTCATTTTATTTTCAAATATTAATAAGCAGTGAAGCAGTTTCTTAATATATTTTAAGAAATAATAATAAATGGCAAATTACTTCAGGTTTTCATTTCAAGAATTTGATTCATTTAATGAATTTTCCCATTACTATATCAGTTAAATCACCCTAACATTTTCGATTCTAAATTATTTTTAAATTAAAATGAAATGCATGTTAATCATAGAATAGGTAAAACCATACAGCCTGATCCATTTTAGAGTTTATTCTGGCCAAGAACCACCCATTTAGACAGGAACTGGACTGGTCTGACCAACATGTAAGGCAACCAACCACAATTTGTTTTGTTTTAAATGTTACTTAAGGGTGAGTTTATCTAACATATCATTGTTACCATCCCAAGTTGATAGAAAAAAATTAATTGGAGAGGAAAAAAGTATTGAAATAATTGCACAAGCGTTGGTCCACAACCGACTTTATGGAATATCTATTTAACTTGCCACTATGCAAAAACTTGAATATCTAGCTCAACCATATGAAACCACTAACCTGGCAAACTTTGTGACTTACAAACATGACTTTGTCTCATGGTGGACTGGTGCTCTCTGACTCACAGAAGTTACATAGCAGCCAGCCAATCAGATTGGACCTGGCAATGTGGCAGTCATTTCAGAATACCACTATGCTGCAAGTCCATAGAGAGAGAGCATGTCTTATTCTCACTGTTCGGGTGCCGAAAGAAGTAATTGCGAAACAGAATAAGAGGGAGGATGTGGAAGATGTAGAAATGAGAGAGGAAGTAGAAATGTGGAGGTGAGAGAGAAACAGATAGAGAGAGAAAAAGAGAGAGAGGGAGATGTCCGCCACTAAAAACAAGATGATTTCAACATGAATTCATAATTTCTAAATTTGAATTTGTGCAATCCATAATTTATGTAAATGTTTTTCATTCATGGATTCTGTGTAGATGTAATTCTTTCTTTAAGAAATGTTGAATGTGTGTTCATGAATATCTGTCTGCCTGTGTGTAGCTCAACTGCCACAGGGGAACATTCCATTAAAACCAGTGGATTAAACGCAATTCAGAGAGGTGTGTGAGTCTGTGAGGGGAGAAGTGTATTAATGGCTGCAGCCATCATACAACTGACCCTCACCGACTCAGAGCTTTAGAAACAATCATAAGATCAGCCAAAAATAGTGTGTGTGTGTGTGTGTGTGTCTGTGTGTGTGTGTGTGTGTGTGTGTGTATATGTGCGCGTGCGTGCAAGAGTTTCAGTGTGTAAATGGGTCTACATAAAAAAAAAAAAACACAATAAATCAAACACATATTGTTGGATCTGTGGCTTAGTGGTTAACATGCATGGTCTGGACACATTGAGCCTTGGTGTTCAGGTGGGAAATGTGGGTTCGAATAGTCAAATTAAACTGCAACAGTAATTATAGTTTCGAAACAGTCTACTCAAACAATGCCCATCTTGCAGTCAGGTTTAAAAATTAACACTTACT